ACAGACGTCGACCAGCTGGCCCTACACCACCCCCTAGTGTACACAGCTAGCAGTCTCTTCTTCAGAAGTATTGAGCCTAATCATTAGCATCCAAATGTCTCCGTGGTTTTGACCTTTCTGTGGACTTGGGTCTCCTAAAGAGTCTAAAGGAAACTACAGACCCTTCTCCCTGGAAGGTAACACATGGCGTACATAGGTGTTTGCATTTGGGGCCCTCTGAAATTGTTCCTGGCCTTCAGGTTAAGAACCTCTGATAAATATTCTGATGACTCTCAGACCTCTCTCCTGGGCTCAAGAACAGGATACCCAACTGACACTTCAACATCTAGGCCTTTCTATCCTCTTGACACCTCTCATCACACCCCGACAGACCTCATCTGGTCAACATCCGCCCTCTGGTCTTCCCTGTGTTCTTGCCCTCATGACTAGCCCCACTTGGTCATCCAAGCTGGGAATTCAGAACACATCCTGACTCCTCTCTCTTTTTGGCTCCGCTTGCAAGCGTGGCCTTGTCAGCCAGTGGTTTCTATCACCCCCACCCCCCACTACTATCTATTTCGGGCAGGTGTCATGTCACAGTTGGATCCCACACGGGCTCAGTCTCTGCCCCCTCTGGCCTTCCAATCACTCTATCCTCTTCTCAGCTGTGATAAAAACAAAACACAAGACATGTGTCAGCATTACTCCCCAGAGCCATCTTTGAAATATTTCAGACGGTGACAAAGTTGTCTTTGTTGTTGATACATTTTCCTGCAGCGCTGGATTTCTGAGAGTGGTTCTGCACTCGGGGACCCCACAGTGCCTCAGTGGACTGAAGGATGCTCTCACCCATCCCCAAGTCTTCTCTTCTTCAGGCGCAACAGACTCGTGTTTTAAACCACAGCCTTCAAATTGGGAGGGACGGGATGATTTTGCAGGTGGGAAGGCTGGGGTTGAGATGGGGCAAGGGCAGCGTCTGTCTCCTGCTGGCTGTTTCTCCCATGTTGAGCAGGGTGCCTGGCACAGAGAAAGTTCTCTGTAAATATGTGTGAAATGGATGAATTTGTGTTACCAAATACATTGCTTAGGGTCACAGTGGTAGAAGGAAGATAAGGTCCACTTCTCCCAAGTCCCTTTTGAGGCTGTTAGACCTCAGGCAAGTTAGTTAGCCTCTCTGGGCTTCTGTTCTCTTCTCTATAGAACGGAGAGTAACCATACTCTCATAGGGTTACTACGAGGATTAATTGAGCTTGTGAAGCGTTTAGCACAGTCCCTGACACTTGGCAACCAGTAGATAAATGGTCACGTCACACAGCAACTGTGTGGGTGTGGCAGTCCAGGGGTTTGCTTCTGCTGAGGGGAAGAGAATCAAGGCTAAAAATATCCTTTAGGCAATTTATGTAAGATGTTAGTTAAGCAGGCGCTGTTGTATTGCACTGTTTTTACAGACTAAATCAACTGTTTATCTATTTGCCTACCCTGTGCAGGCAGGAATTAGTGGTGGGTCTCACAAAGGAGCTGACCATGAACATCAGCCTAAGTAACTCTGGGGAAGATTCCTACATGACAAGCATGGCTGTGAAGTACCCCAGGAACTTACAGTTTAAGAGGATACAAAAGGTAACTGTGACAGCCATTTTGGAAACTTGCCACCCAGCTCAAGGCTTTCCCCTCCCCGCATCCCTGCTTTGTTAGGGCAACCTCCTAACTCTGCCTGGTCCGCTCAATAAGGACTATTAACTAGCTGAATCCCCTCCAATCAACTACATGCAGTGGGTCTGAGCATGTCATTCTGAGCCTTAAAAACGTTCAGTGGTGCTATCTGCTGCCCAAACACTCCTTTTGCTTGCAGCCTTTCTTAACTAGGGTTCTGGGAGAGAAATCATCTCTAATAAATTAGCTTGGGCTGGAAAGTAGAAGTCTGCCCAGCCTTTCATCAGCCCGGGAGCACAGACTCAAAGCCAGCTGCCCGATGCTAGGAAGTGGTATTTCTCCCAAGGACACCTGCAGCTGTAAAGTACTGTAGCACCGAGAAATTTTCTTCCACAGGCAGCCAGCAACTTTGCTGTTTGAAGTTATATCTGTAATTATGAAATCATCTTACTCTCGCCTGGAGAATCTAAGCCACTTGGACAAAGAAACAGCCTCATTTTCCATCTGAGGCTTGGAACTTCAGATAAAGCGTTTCTGGACATAACTTTTCACATTCACCTTAACATTTCCCAAGGAAATGGGTCCCAGGGCCCGTCTTGCAGTCCAGACCTCATGTTGAGTGGCACTTTGACACAGCCCTGCTTTGTCTTGAGTCTCCTGCTTTGTTTGCATTTCCCCTGAACTCCACCTCTCCCCAGAATCCTTTACTGTCTTTGCCTTTGTTTGGTGCGATGGACCACAGTGCCTTCCCCTCATTGTAATGAGTCAACAAACTTGGCTTTGTCGAACTATGGGTTTGTCCCTGGCGGCCTGAGGCTATCCGGCCTAGGAAGGCATTCATCCTATGAAAAGAACGCTGTGATCCCTAAGCATCTAGGATGGAATTGGATGTACCGTCCTTGGGAGAATTAGGGAAATGCAGTCACTCGAACCACTTTCTGTATTCAGTGGTCCAGATGAGGGACCATGGCGGACGAAGGCTGCAGGGCAGTGCCTGGCCCGTCTCAGTCCGTGACGTTGGCGCTGGTATGAGGCCCAGTTCAAACATCTCCACCCCGACGAAGACCAAAATTCCTGCTGGCTGGATTTTGTCTTTCTCTGCTGCTTGTCTCTGTACCGCTCTCACAGAACCCCTCCTTAGGCCTTGCATTTAAATTCCTCAGCCATCTGGTACTGAGCCCTTCTGCCCAGCTTGTGAGGAAGACAGGGACAAGGTCTGATTTGTGTCCACAGCTCCCAACAGGGTGTCTGGCCTGAACTGGCATAAGGAAATGGCTTCTTTTTTTTGCCTGTAAAAAAACAATGTCTTTTGTGTTAACAGCCGCCTTCTCCAAACATTCAGTGTGATGACCCTAAGCCAGCGGCTTCGGTCCTGGTCATGAACTGCAAGATTGGGCACCCCATACTCAAGAGGTCATCTGTGAGTCTGTTTTGACTGGCTGACGCTTCTCACTCACTCCCCCGGGGTTGGTGTCTTCTGTTCCCGTCTCACTAGAACCTCTCAGTGGCAGGCTCCACATCCGCAGCAGTGCTTAGAGCTGCCAAGCGTGCTCTGAAAGCAGGGAGAGGTGGGGTGGGGGCAGCAGCCACCCAGTCAGCTCACCCCAGGAGAGCAGAGTGAAGCTGGGCGCAGTATGGAAGGAGCTTCAGACCCAGCGTTATCCGCCCTGAGGCGAGTCCCTGATCTGCCACTGGTCATCTCTTGCTGTGGGAGATCTCTGAAGTGGTTTCCCTCAGCTGTAAACGGGAGATAAACGCTGTCTGCCCTGCTCACTCCCTCCTGACGCTGTGAGACTTACCTGGAGTAACAGGCCTCGAAGGCCCCTGTGCTACAATAATGGGAGGCATTAAAGTTCTGTCTCCCTGGTCTGTTTAGTCAGTAGGAAGCAGTTTGAACTGTGAGTGGTATAAAGGGAAATTGAGTGACTTTTTTTTTTTTAAATAGATAACCCTTTCATTAGCTTGGCAGCTGGAGGAGAGCACCTTCCCAAACAGGACAGCCAACATCACTGTGATGATCACCAAGTAAGCAGTACCTGTGGCTCCCTCACCGCCCAGAAGGGGAAACTCTGTGAGCCCAGGGAAGGCCCTGGGTCCCCGCAGTGACTTGGCTTTCCCTTCATCATCAGAGATAGAGATACTGAAAAACCTTTTTATTGGCACACAAAATAAAACTAGGGTATAGCCTGGTAGGATGAGCCTTGGACTAGAGTTCTAACTCTGGTTCATTTAACTTTAAGAAGCTATGTCATCTACAAAACTTCTATGCTTGAGAGTATGGTCCTGGGAAGAGTTCTCAAATGGGGGTGATTCTGCCCTTCAGGGGCAGAGCCTGAAGACACCTGATTGCCACGACACCGGCAGGGGGTGGGGTGGTGCTACTGGCATCTAGCGGGCAGAGGCCTGGGATGTCGCTAAACATCACACAACAGACAGGACAGAACTACCTGGCCCCAAATGTCAATATTGTCAAGGCTGAGAAACCTCTTTAAAAATCACTGTTTCTCCAAGTACGGTCTTCCAGCGAGTCTTCTGCACTCTTAACTGCTCACCTCCAAGAATCTTTTCTGTCTGACCCCCAACGATCCCGGAAAGCCAAGGTAAGCAGCAGCCGTCTGTACAAAGCAGGTATGCTATCAACCGACACTCTTATTTCCTAGTTTCAACGAAAGAAGGTCTCTGGTCAGTAAGACCCACAGCCTTCAATTCAAGCATGCCTTCATCGCAGTTCTTCCCAAGTAAGTGCTTCCAAGGGGCCGACAGCTGTGGGACGGCTTCAGCCATTTTCTCCTGTGGAAGCAACTGGTGTCGGGGGGAGGTGGGCCCTGCCCTTCCCTGAGAGGAGGCTGCTTAGAACCCAGGCTCCCACTCACCTCTAGGGCACTAACAGTTGGGTCCCAGAAACCCCATGGTCATAATCAAAGGAGGAGTGGTGCCAACTGAGGAGGGAAGGAGAGAGGGGCTGTGGGATTGGGAAGGAAGGAAGGAAAACAGTAAGGCCACACTGAGGAATGATAATCAGACCCAGAACTAGCCCCAATATACAGAATTCAAACAGTCTAACTTGATCTTAACTGCCTGACCACTTTACCTTGCTTTGATCCCTCTTAAGGATCGGGTGCCCTGGGTCCTAGTGTATCTAATTGGTAGCACTGAGGCTTATTTAAATAAGAAGGGGGCCTTGAGGTCTAACCCACGTCCTCTCGACTGCAGGCCATCGGTGATGTACATGAACACAAGCCGCGGGCTTTCTGACCACAAAGAGTTCCTCTTCAATGTAAGTGCTGGGCCCGCCACTGCAAAGCCCCGCGCGGCCAAGCTGCACCAGCCATGACTTCCTGCTCTGATTTTATTTTGCAGATACATGGGGAGAACCTCTTTGGAGCAGAGTTCCTGCTGAAAATCTGTGTTCCGATCAAATTACAAGGTCTTCACCTTGTAAGAGTGAAGAACCTGACCAAGACTCAGGTATGTAGAGGAGGGTCTTGAGCAGGGTCACATCTCTCTCAAGAGTGACTATGGATTCTCAAAGGTATAAAAACTAGGCTTCTGGGAAAGGAGTAAAAGCAAGATTAGTTAACCTGGGAACACATTAGCAGTAAATTACCAAAGCCATGCTCACAGGGACTATTAACCGCTTGGCCTTTAAAGCGACATTTCAGTTTTTTTCCCTTGATGGAAAAAATAAGCAAAAATTCTGACTTTTTAAGTAGCCATGGAGACATTTATTTTCCCTTTGAAAATTGGTAAATTCTGCTTCTCTGTGATTGGTGAATGAGCTTGATAAACATGTGGCAGTTCTTGCACTTCTCCCTATAAACTGTCTCCCATCTTCCTTTCCTCTTGCCCTCCAGCCTGTCTGCCTTGGACTCTGCTTTGCCACAGCCTCTCTGCTGTTGGTTGATGCCTCACCCGTAACAGTTCCCAGAGCCAGCCTGTGGTATAGCAACAGGCTCTGACTAGGGTGGCAGCTGAGGCCTTGGGCTTTCCTGATTTTTTTTTTTCCTGCTCGGGCTACAGAAAGTATCAAGGCTCAAAAAAGGAAAATACGGAATTTACAAAAACCGAGTCAGCTGACAGAAAGAGGGCTTTTTCGGTTGTAAACGCTTGTTCTCACAGTGTAGTTTATTTTCTGAGAATATTTGTGAAGTTTAAACATTTCAACAAACATGTGAGTTTCCGCTTGGAAACAAAACTCTCGTTTTGAAAAGCTGATTGGAAACCTGTCAGAATGGAACTCCCATTGTGCGCTGGGGACAGAGGTTAACAACAGCACCAGGGGCTCCCAGGCCAGTGCCCTCTGGCTTTGTGGTGGTCAGCGCCCCCTGCTTACTTAAACAGGCTGTGCTGGCAGAGCAGGTCCGTGGCAGAGCTGAAGTTCAGCATGGTTCTGTGGAAATGCTGGATCTTTCTCCTCACCTGCTTCATGGCGGGGGTGTTGCACTTGGACTTGAAGGTCATCTGCTTCAGAATCTTATCTGTGAGGTAGTGCAGCCAGAGCACGTTGTTATGGGGGTGGTATTCGCCCCAGCAGTTGTTGTTCTCCTTCCTCATTAGCCTGTAGATCTCAAACTGGTAGTCACCTTCTCCCGTAAACAGGTCCTCGTCCGTGGAAATGTCACAGAAAACCACGATCCCGTCCCGCTCCAAGCGAGACAGGGTGTAGTCAATGATGTTGACTTGCAGCCCACGGGTAGGGATGGCGCTCGTCTGCCTGTTGAGGGTGTAATGGAGCTCTTTGAGGCTGGTTTTCTTTAAAAGCACGTTCCCCCAGTGTAAGTCTCAGTGCTCAAAGTGCAGGGATGCCTCCGCCACGGCGAGGGACGCAGTGATCTGGTGTAGGATGCTCTTTGCAGTGGCGATGGAGGGCAACTTCGTTCTCGTCTGCTCTAAGTCGATCCCTCCAAACTCAAATTCCAGCACAATAAACAGCTGGCTGTCCTCAAAAAATTCAGGCCGGTCATTCGCAGACCCATTGGCTGAGTTATAGCGATCCCAGGCTTGGAGGAGCAAGGGAGGGTAAGACCCTTGAACACAGTGCACCGAGTTCAGCCCAATAAAGCCATCTGTGCGGTTGTGTGCCTCATTCGACAAGAGGCTCAACTCTTTGGAGATGATGATCTCAGGCAGGATTTCCTCAAAAGTTTTTTGATGAGCTCCATTGACTAACTCCGGCCCCTCAATAGCAATGATTTTTAGGGCTACAGGTGTGTGATTAGCAACTGTTTGAAACACTTCGCCAAACACCCCTTCGCCAATCTTCTCACAGCATTTCAGTTTTTCTGTGGACAGGCAATAGCTGAAGGGGACAGGCCCCTCCTGATTGCATTCCCTGTAAACCTTTTCTGCATCGGATGCCTTTTTGTCCGTGACATGTAGTATCTTTAAGGGGGTTAGCAAATACATGGAGGAGGAGTGCCAAGGGGACAGAGCACTGTTTGTTCTGTTCGTGACAGGAGGGTTTGAAAATTCTGATATGAAGGACTCAGAGAGAGAACTGGCAATGGTGGAGGTGCTGCACAATTTTGACACAGCAGTCACGATCTTCTTCTTGTGGAAACTGAAGGAAGCCCTGGCTTTGGTCCAAGAGCAGGCATTCTGTACATGAGTCAAGTCCTGGGTGATAAATGAATCTTTTCCCATCTTTTGGCCCTTTTTAAACTGCTGGTGATGGAGGAGGGAGGTATCTGCTGTCTCCTGATGCTTCCTTTTCCTGCTTGGCCCAGTTCTCTCAGGCCTGTTGATTTTCCCAGGTACAACACCTCCCCTGCACCCACGGGTCTCCTCATATTCCATCTGGACAGCCCCTTGAGACCCAGTCTCTCGACAAGAGTCCTGGCCTGTGGCCATTTTCTTACCCATGCTTGATAAACCTGGGCTCTCCAGCCTCCTTCCCACTAGTTCCCTTTTACAGCAGGACTCCCTCATATTCTTCCCATCTGCCCCAAATTCAGAATCCTCAGGATTTCCTGAGCCCAAAAAGCTAAAGAGAGCTGACCTGAGGCTGCCATGGGCTTGGTGGGCCAACCTGGTGAGCCTGCCTCCTGCTGTCGCTGCCTCCTGGGAGCAGGGGAGAGACGCCTGGTCCACGGAGGCTGCTGGGAGCGGGAAGCCGCTCAGAACTTCAGAGACTCCATCCAGAGAGGCGGAGGAGTTGGTACAGATGCTGCATCCTGGCGCTGGGGACCCAGGGCCGGGGCCAGGAGAGGCCGGAATGCTGAACAGGGAGGCACTGGTGCCCAGCTCGCCGTCGTCCCTGGTCTGGCTGCACACACTGAGGTCCGGGCTCAGGCGGCCCGGGTTGCCTTCGGGGAAGGGCGGCGGTCCGAGAGGGCCCGCAGGGGGTGCTGCACTTCTGCCGGCACCGCGCTCGCAGCCTCAGACGTCTCGGGGTCGCGATCAGACTCGGCGGGTCCTTGGGAGAGTCGGTTGCCAGCGCGCCTCCGCGGCCGACCCACCGGGCTGCCGGGGAAGTCGGGGTCGTCAGGATCGTCAGAGGCCGCGGACTGCGAGCGGCCGCCCCCGCTGGCGTCGCTGCTACTGCTGCTGCTGAAGAAACGTTTCCGGTCTTTCGGCGGGAACCACTGCACGGCTGCCTGGCCCGGCCGCCGCCACGGCGCCCCGCCGCCCGCAGCCCCATAAGTTCGGAAGAGCCGACTCCCGGGTCGCGGGAGTGACGCCGCCATGGCCGGCACCCGCCAGCTTGTTCAAATACAAACACCGCGAGACTTCCTCGAGACGCAGACGTGCCGGCCGGCCGGCCGGCCGGTCTGCCCGGCGGGTCCTAGCTCCGGGCCTCGCGCCTGCGCATTACAACGGGTATCGCGGGATGTGGGAGAGGGCGGGTAACTATGGCGGCTTGGCATCCTCAGTTGGTCGCGGCCGTGGCTCTCGTTTCAGGCTCACACTGTGTGCACTCAGACCCGGGAGCGTGTTTGCGGGAGCGCTCCGGTTCAGGTGAGCGCGGCCGACCCGAGAGGCCGAGGGAGGGAAGAGGGCCTGAAGCGGGTGACATGAGACGTCCGGATACTATTTTTCCGAGGTATCCCCTGAAAGCACAGGCAGGGCGGTCCCAAAGCTCTCTTTAGCCTCTTGACCGGTTCACGTTTGGCAGTGGATGCACAATTTAACATCAGACAGACCCGGGTACAAATCCCAGACCCACTTGGCACAGCCCCTTGGCAGCTTATGGGGCGAGTGCACAGCAGCACGTGCTGGCCTTTGAGTGGTCGGTCAGTCTGTACAAGGAATCATATAGGGGGAATGAAGAAATGGCCTAAACTTCACTCAGAAATATTCCTGAGTCACCACTGGGCAGGGCTTGCGGCTAGACATTGGACGGAGGAAGGAGATTTGATTCCTGCCTTGTCAGGGCTCCTGAACTAACAGGGAACAGTGCTGGGGTCTGCACACTGGTGGGCACTATCTTTCCCAATGACAACTGGGAGAGTGGAATTTGCATTCTTCAGAACACTCATTACTGCTACAGAACCAGGAATAACCTTACCAGCGGGTCATGAGTGCTGAATAAAATCACAATTGTCTGCACACATCCCAAATCAAGACTCAGTTACAACCTGGAATAGACTTTTTGGCCCCGAGCGCTCACCTCTCCCTGCATCCACACCCTTACCGCGTCTCTGTGGGCAGAGTGTACCCTCTCGTTCCCTGACAGGGGGCGTCGGCCCATGGAATGGGCAGAAGGGAGAGTGCTGGTTCTGTGCCTAGGACGGAGGAGGCCTGATGGGTTTCTGCCTTGCCCTCTTATGCCTCCCTTGAGCAGCTGCTGCCTCTTCAGCCTGGGCCCCAGAATGAACACACATGGAAAAGACTCGCCCTGGCTAATCTGCAGACCAGGAGTGAGGCGCAGAGCAGACCCAGCAAGCAGGGCGTTGAGCAGAGATGTCCCAACTACGCCACAGCATGGTGACAATCGTTACTCCAACCCACCAAGTTCTGGGGTGGATTTGTCTGTCACACAGCGCTCTTGTGGCAACAGTTAAGCAGTACATGTAGCCATTCTTTTATTAGGTTTTAAGTTCAGCTGCTGCAATAGAGACCCTACACAACAGCGGGTCAAACAAGAAAGAAATTTACTGACCTCTCATGTGAGAATCTGGTTAAGTAAGTCCAGGGCTAGTCTGGTGGCGCATGTGTCAGGGAGCCTTGCTCCACCATTCTGCGGTGGAGCCTTCATATCATGAAGCCTTCATATCATTCACAGATTGAGGTCTTAATTTCCTGCCGCCCTGCAATCCAAAACACTCCACAGCGTGGCGCCAAACTCTCTTTCCAACATTACCCTCCCATACATAAAGCCTCACCTTGACCCACTATTCCCACTTCTGCTTCAGGCCTCGGGGCTTGTCTTCTTGAACGGGTGTGCTCCCCTCATGTCCCCAAGCTGGTGCCCCACTGCCGTCCCCCAGGTCTCAACATCCCACTCCCACCAGGGCCTCAGGAGCCAGAGCTGGTCAGACCTGCTGCTCCCCAGGAGTGAGAGGCCCTGACCTCCATGGGTGGGGGGCTGCCATCCAGCATCCAAGAGAAGAATCCAGTGTGCCCCCAGTCATCCTCCCATCCCCCTGACCAGCCTCTCCCCTCCTCAAGCCCTTCCCTGAAGAAGCCAGGGAACCTCTGCACCCCCCCACCTCCCTCCCTCCTTCTAGACCTCAGTAGATTAGTGAGCATAACAGGGCTTGTTCACATGGGTCTCTCTGGAGGTCTCACATGGGACTCAGGAGGGGTGGGCATATCGGTTTGGAGGGTGACAGGCTCTCTCTTGGACTCAGTTCTAGCCAGGTTCCCCTGAGACTTCAGGATTCAACCTTGGGCTATAAAGACTTGAACAAACACTAACATAGTTTCTAACAGCTCAAGGCCACATCCCAAGGATGACCGCAGCTCCCTGAGAAACACTCCAGGCTGCCTGAAGAACTGGCTGTTTGTACCAGCCAACACCTGAAGAGGGGGCCCTGGTCTATCTTCTGTGAGAGGGTAGGAGCCTAACTTCGATAAGCGACAATTAGCCAACACAGATGGGTTTCATGTGCCCAACGCCCCGCCCTTCCCACCTTTTGCACCTTTCTCACTCTACGGAGCCCCCCTCCCCGTTCCTATTCCCTCATTCTCCCTTTAAAACCCTGGTCACCTCAGGTGCAGCTGAGTTCAGTTCACGATGGACCCATTTCCTGTATTATTGCTACTGTATATTATTGATTGAAATCTGTCTTCAACACTTTAAGTAGTGCCTGGCTTTGTTTATGTTTGGAAGGTGAGGTGTCCAGGACTAGCTGTATTATTTATATATTTATTAACCTTTTAAATAAGTACCCCAGGGACGTTTCAGTACAGAGGTCTACAGATCATATTTTGAGAAATTATACTTCCCTTTTCATAATTATATGGATGCCATTTCTCTGGCAGCCCTTTTGAACGGGAGCTGTATTTTCTGACTGTGGGTCCCGTGGCTAGCACTCCTGCAGGGAGCGAGCCGGCAGTGCCCCCACAACTGTAGGGACCGGGAGGCGGGAAACACCTGTACCACTAATACTGGGAACTGCCAGAGGGCAGAAATGACAGAAGGGGCGCCTGTTTCCCCCACCCCCGGCCCTGCGGGTGCCTGCTGAGCTAGCTTTCTGCTGAGCTACATAAAGGGGAAACAAGTGAGTCTCCAAGGTCATTCGAGCTCTTAGTCATCACTTCCTGGATTCCCGATACTTCCGACCCCCACCCCCAGGTCACACTTGGACCTTATTATCATCTGGAATCTACCATAAAAACTCTCAAAAGTCCAACCTTTCCTTCTCTGAACATAAGCGCTTGCCTTTCCAGTTTCCACTCATGTGTACCCACCACACACCTGCTTCAGCTGCATCAAAACCTCCGGTCTGGCGCCCCATTTTCTCCCAGTTCCTACTTGGTCTAAACCCCAACTTGATCTCTTGGCCTCTGTAACTTCCAGGCCACCTTCAAAGTGCTCTTTCTAAAACTCAAGGTTGATCGTGACCTTACTCTGCTTAAAACATTGCAGTCTGTGCTGCCTGATCACACCCACGTGCCTCCGCCAGGCCCCCCAGGACTGGA